ATATATATATATATATATATATATATATCTTTACTCTTAATAGAAAAATAAAGATCTGAGAAGAGGCTCAATAATTTAATTAATTACTATCCTTTAATTAGTTTTGTTTAGAGATGTGAATAAACTAGAGTTATTTGTAAATTGTTTAGACTCGATTGGTAAAATGTTTGATCATGCTTATTTAAATAAAACAAAATATAATGATATTAAACTGATTATTTAAGTAAATCAATTTCATTTTTATAAAACTTGAGATTAGCTGTCGGTGAATAGTTTAGACTTTTAGATACACACACGCACACACGTCATAAAAAATTAAAATATTATATATACCACTATTTGTATGCAAACAATTTTTATAGACTTTCTAATTACAATTTTGAAAAAATACTTTTATTTGTTATTTTTAGTTTTAAAGTGAGAGTTAAAATTTAAAAGACAAAAGATTATATTTAAGTCTTTTTAACAAGCAAATAAAAGGGAAAAATCTATGAATGAAATATATTAATAAGAATTAATATCAATAATGTAAGTAAAGTTAGATTATAAATGAGTTAAACAAGATAAATTTAAGTTCTATCTTTTTTAACAAGTTAAGTTTTATGTAAAAAAAAAAAAAAAGTTAAGTTCAAGTTTTTAGCTAAGCCCTAAATAAATGAAAAAGCTTGAACAACTCATGTTTTCTCAAGAGTCTCATGGAGTCTATTCATTTACACTCTAATTTTACCAATCGTTATTGTAAATAAATTTTTTCACCAAAAATTACTATATATATATAATGTATCGATAACATTAAATATCAAATTTTAATTAAATTTTTTATAATATTTTAACCATTAACAAACAATTAGTTAATTTTCACTGTACTAATTTAAAAAGCCAAGAGATAAAATAAAATAAAAATTAAAAAAAGTAAGAGAGACTTGTTCTATTTTTAATTACGATATTATATATCAAGTGTAAAACTGATTCACCTCTTTTTTTTTCTTATGGGAATCTTTTTAAAATGAAAAGAATATGCCTTGACTTGCATGCGGATATTAAGGTTTCATATATTGTAATTGTTTTAAAGACCTCTCAGCACATTGAAGTGTTAATTTCTCTTTTTAAAAAAACAAATTATTGTTCATAAATGATGTTGAATTATTTTTCATAGTTTTTTTTAGCACATTTTCATCCGAGACTAATTTCGAATATTGTTCTAATTATTAAAACTGCCCCTTCAGAAAATACTTTAATTTCTTATATCGCTAAAAAAATTAAGTCATTTGAAATTCAAATTTATTTATTACTCGAGTCACTTCTTAAAAGTAATGAATTATTTCATGCAGTTGAATAACGATTTTTTTTTTGGTTGTTGATTTATTTTCTACCAAATCATGAAGTTACACTCCATTAATAAAGTTTCACTTTTTTTTATCAATAAATTAAGTTTTAATTTACAACCTATCCACCCAAAAGAAAAGGTTTCAATGTTACGAGTGAAGAAGAAGGGATTCCAATTATGTTATTATAATGTATATATAAAACTAATTCTTTATTTCAGTGTACATATTATTTAAGACAAGTTTAATTTTTCATAAATATTATATAAATTGTATGATAGAAAATCAAAAAGTCTTTTTGCAAAAAAAATATTTTTGCAACCGATGATAACCGCATACTATTTCACTAACGTATATTTAAAAGAAGTTATCACGAAATAATAAAATACCTTCTTTTTTATTAGTTAATATTAAGGTTTTATTCTTTTTACCAAACAGATATATAAATCTCTAAAGTTGAACCTGAATCCTAACTCCTAAGACTAAAGACATTTTATCATTAGACTAAAGTAAAAGAATTTTATCAACTAATAACATTAATCGCATGTAAAAGAAAATAGTAATAATAATTCTAAAAATAAGTAATCTTAATTTATTTAAAAAATTTCCTCCTCGGACTACCCTTAACCCGAGAGGGAGAGAGCCAAAGAAGAAGATTCAGATAAACCCCGCAGCAAAGGGCAACAAAAAGTGCATTAACTTAAAGAGAAAGAAAAAATTTGAATAGGAGATTGGAAGAAAAAGTCATAGGGGTAGATGCAAACTCTTGTTTTCATATTTAATAATATGCATTGATGCTTTAATGTTGACCATTGATTCTATTGGTTATGGCATGGCATGTCTGCATCTAACAAGTCTTTACTCATGAAGGACAATGACTTGTTGTAATCCTTGCCCCATACTTTTATTATATATAAAATATGATAGGGACCCAATACACAGCTTTTCTAGGGTTTACTTGTTCTGGATCACTAAAAATGATTACTCTCCTCAAATTCTTGAGTGTTGACAACAAGTTCTGGTTTGGGATGATGCATCCTTTTTTATCTAATACATGTAAAGTAGTTGATCAGGATAACATCAATACATGTAAAGGTGTGCCTTCTTGCTTTTCTCTAACTTATGGTTCCCTAATTAAGAGGGTTTATGAGAGCAGCTTCTCATCCTCTTAAACTATTTGTTAATTTCTATCAAAATAATAATTCAATTTTAGTTCAAGGCCGAAATTGATGACATGTTGAAAATATCTCTTTCAATAAAATTTAGATGACTTAAATTTAATTTTTACTCTTTGAAATGGATTCCTATAATCTCATCAAATTTTATCTTAATCCTTTAAAATTATTAATAACATTGTTGATATAGATATATTGAGTTGGATATACAACATTATTTATATTTAATATATTAATAAGTAAATTTTGTGTGATAAACTTTATTTAATAAACTTATTAACGATATTGGAATAAAAAACTGAAATAATTTTTTTTTCATATTACATGACTAAAAAAATTATTCTATATTTAAAAAATTAAAGGTATATTAAAGTCAATTCAAATTTTATTTATGAGATATGGAGTTGTTTCTTGTTTTAATCGAAAAAAAAAACATTGTTTTAAAAGAAATATTTATTTCCTTTTTTCTTATATTTAGAATCCAATATGTTACTATTTTTGAAAAGTCAAACCAAGCAACATGTTACCCTCTACCCTCTCAGGAGATCATACATGTCTTGTTTGGTGAGTAAGAAATAGGATAGAGAGAATGGAAGTAAGAGAATTAAAATGAGATAAATTATTTAGTTGAGAAAAAAATGAAGAAAAGAGAAATTAAAAGATAGTAGATCTCATTTTTTTAATTTATTTTTTTTCTCTTATATATACTTTATTTATCACATATTTTTTTATATATTTTTCTTCAACTAAAAAAATTAAATTTCTATTTTATTTTTTACATATTTCTTTTCATTTTTTTATTTTTTTTACTTTATTTTTCATTTATTTATTTCCTCTCTACCAAAAACATTCCCAATATTAAATTAAATATAGAAATCCACACCCATATTGGGCTCTTTTTCTTGTACGAGTATGATTGTTTAAATAATCAATTTTTTCCTTTTGCTTTTCAAGTTGAAAGAATTTTATTTTTTTAGTGAAGATTCCTGTCCTTAACAAACCAATAAAGAGTTCCATTTTTGATGATTTTTTGTTTTCTAAAATTAGACATTACGTATACGTGCCCATTCATCTAAACATTGTACAATGAAAAGAAAGGAAGAGTTAGCTCATGTCTTTAA